TTTTTTTCTCCGGGTGGCAAGCCCTTCGGTTACAGGGAAATGGAATCACTGATGACTCAGGTAAAGGCTGTAGGCCTGGCCGGTGAATCCGAGTTCGCACCACGAAATGAAAAAACAACCTGGGAATGACAGCACCTTTTTTTGGGTATGTACCGGGGAATCCAATTAGAAACCAGGGTTTGGTTGAAACCACCACTTCTTTGTTTTTGGTGTTTATGTCGGGGAATTGAATCATATACCGGGGTTTCTGAACAGTGGTGGGAAATGGATTTCACAACTATCCACAGTAGGGAACCACCTCAAAAGTTGTACAAAGTCACACTCAAATGGGCATGTCGTTGTTTGAAGGATACCTCTTTTTTGCCGTTCTTTGAAGGGAACCTAGGAGGAAAATTGTTTGGCCATTTTGGGGTGCCCTGAAAGAAGGAACCACACCCAAACCAGCTCTTTGTCGTTTTGGGCCGCTCCGGTGGGAAGTTTTGTTCGCTTACGAGTTTCTCGGGCCGTCGAAGTTGTCGAGAGAAGCACCCAAGGTCATCCAAAAAAGGGTACTCGGAAAAACAAAATGACATATCCCATAGCTTTTAGCAAGGGTTCAGTGAACCACCATTTTGGTAAGTTCCGTATAGCAGGCAACCAATGGAACCAGCCCTTTTGGCACATTTAGCTTGTAGGCGCAAAGCAACTTGAAATAACCTTTCGACCTGACCGGTCGAGTGAGTTCTTGGTGGAATGGGGCTGCTGTTCAGTTTCAATGGGGCCAGCTTCACAGAACTTCATGACTTTTTTGCTTCCCAGTGGTCAGTGGTGCCTTTTTTTCTCTTTTTTTTTTGAAGAGTTCCTTGTTTCCCTTTGAAAACAGGATTTGCCATTTTTCCCACCACTGGCATCTGGGGTTTGCGCTTTGCTCTTTTCGGTTTTGCTTCCTTTCAGTGGGGCCTGCAACAACAGACGCCAGGGTTGGAGAGCTTGATGTGATGATGGCCCATGATTGACCCCCGAAGAGATCGATGAGATGTCAACATCGTGACTTCCTGAAGCAAGTGTGGGAAGAGAGTTCTACCCTTGGAGCCTGTCTGCATCTGAGTTGCCTTTTGTGGTGAAGACGAAGACTAGAAGCATGTTTCAAGGTCTGTTGCTAGGGATCTTCATTGTTTCCAGCTCAGAAGTGAGGAATTTAAGTACCTTGTCCAGAAACCCATATAGCTCAAGGTGCTTGAAACCATGGAAAACGATAGGGAACTCTCCAAAAAACACGATCCCTTTGTGCTACATACCAAACGCAGGAAAACGATAGGGAACTCTCTAAATTCGAACGTACTTACTGAGAACAACAAAGTTTGACGGAACTTCATATATCCAATTGGGTGTGTGTCCTTCTTGTTGTGAGGGCACCATGTCTGGAGTGCTTTGTAGCAAAGGAACCAACACGAAACCCAGAGTGTGTTTTCCCAATTGAAGCTGGGCAATGACAGCCATTTGCCCAGACTCCCGACTCCTTAGAAGGAGCCGGGGAATTCTCACGTTCCTGAGGTCTACAACTTGGCAAGGAGAGCTTACGGTGCCTTGGCTAGATGGAGCCGGGATTTGTTTCGTGGGCGGGTTTCTTTCTGGCTCGATTAGATGAGGAAATGACCCCAAACTGAACCATCCAACTGGCGGCTTGCTTGGATGTAAGAATATTTGGCTAATTCTGGCCACAGACCGCAGGGTTTTGTTACGCTTCCTACTGGCTTCTTTGATATGTTGACCCTGTCAACCCGGTTTATTAGGAGGGGTGTTCCCCTCCAAAAAATGGTAATCCCCCACTAATTCCAGGGACACCCCCCCATTAATAAACTGGGGCACTGGGGTTGAAAATTACATTTCGCAACCCAAAGACTTCAGTCCCAAAATCCTGATTCCCTACTTAGATGTTCGATTCGCCAAGTTAGTGGGTGGGGATCGCCACTTGGGTTCTAACAGGGGTTCCCTCACTGAAAAGGGACTTACAAGTGGGGTTATAATCTACCTGGATCGCCAGTTGCTGCTTTTTGTCCATGCACTTGACCCCACAAACCAGCAAGAAGTGACTGAAAAATGCAGCAACTTGGCTATCTAGGTAGGTTACCAACACACAAACTACGAACACCCAGTGAGAACCATATCTCAAAGCTTTTGGGTCTCACGAACCCAACAACTCCCCCCGTCCCCCATTCCTCGGGGAATCTCCGAAAAAGGATGAGCCACTTTATGTGTTCCTTCCGTTCATTGGCTGTAAGTCTTTCCAAGTGGAGTTGTGTTTTCTACGGGGAGTTCTTTAAGGGGTACTTATACGTGGGTTATAACCGGCATTACCAAGAACTTCCTAACTTGAAGAATCGAGCACCCAAGTAGGAACTCACAAGTTGAGCGATGACTTGGCAGATTGTGCAGAAGCTCAAAGGCACTAGTTCCGTAAATCGACTGGACACCCAAGTACCATTCAACTTGGTGGCTCCCAGCCATCTCCTTTGCTTTTTGGCATTTTAGTGTTTCGTGGCAGTTTCCATGTAACCCACTAAAAGTCAAACTTTAGCGGGGGATCTGAGGGCAGCCCAGTAAAGGCACTAGACTCACTTGGCGAATCGAAGACCCAAGTGGCCCTTTTCGTCACATCGAGCAGATTGCCGCAAGGTGCCCACCGCTCCTCGACTTCGGACGCCCAGCAGGCAGGTGGGCGAATCACTAGGCCCCTTGAGTTGTGAGTTGCCGGGATCTGGGCCTCTGTTTTTTTGTTTGTTTTTGCTTTCTTTCTTTTTTTAAGCACGAGTCGCTACGCACCAAAAAGGCCAGAGGTGTTCGTCCGTTTTGTTTCTTCTATAAGCACTATAGTCACAAAGCACCAACATGGCCAGAGGTGTTAGACCTTTTTTCCCATAAGCACCAAAATGGCTATTTCTGGGAACTCCCAGGCTTAGGCCTTCCTGCGTATGGGACTGTTTAAGGCACACCCCGCAAAGGGAAGAAGGCGCATACTTGGGAATCGCAGCATCCAGAAATGGGGGGTCCTAACATAGGGTACCCCAACAAACGGTCGGTGTCCATTCGGTTTCCCGTTAACACTCCAAACGAGGCATCCTCGAACACCCAAATGGGTTTCAGTTTCGGCTTATGCCGGCTGCTTCATTGTTCCTGGTACGTATTTGAGTCGCTTGCTTGTTCTGTTCAGGTTTAGCGGGGCCTGTGTAAACACACCCTGTTTTGCGCTGGCATACCAGCCACTCAGCACTGCATTTATGACCCCTCTATACGGCGAACTCTAGACGAACACTTGCGTCATGGCTTTTCCAATCTTTCGATTTTCCCAGGTCAAGGGGTGCAGCGTCAATACCAGGAGCTAGACAACGCAGTTGGTGTCAAAGTACCCCACTACTCCATTTAAATTGTTTAGTCACAGCAGGATCCAGAAAGACAGCATCAAAAAATCAAAAAGTAGGCAAGCCCCCACATGGGCCAAACTGGCAATCGGACACAGGCCCTGCCACCTTCTCAAGCTTACTAGCTCAAAGCTGACCTGTTATTTTGTTGACGTCCTTTTTGACTCATATTTAAGGCTCCTTAAAAGGTGATCGCCTTGTACTTCCAGGCCCCTCAAAGGCAAGAGAGAAGATCTCAGAAGGTACCTGGACCCGCAAACTCCCGATAAAACAAGCAACCCCATTGTTGAACGAGTCTTGAGGGTCCCTGTACTTATTATCCTCTCCATTCGCCCTCCAACATCGGCACCGGCCCTTTTGAATGGTGGAAGTCGCGAAAATTGAGCCTCCCCACCCAACCCGAAAATGAAGGCTCAAAAACACATGCAAGGCAATTTGTTGGTGTCTTGGTTGGTCATGTTCTATTCTTGCTGGTGCGAGAGATGCAGGGAATGAGAAATGGAGCCTGACCCCAAGATACAGCATCCAACTGGTGGCTTCCATTCTTCGGGAATCCAAAACCGGTTCATGAGCCATTGCTCAATTCCTGCTTATCGCACCAACAAGTATTGTTCACCCAATTCCTTGGTGCTTGGGATTGGCTTCTTTTTTAGTTTCACCCCCCTGGTTCTTGTGAGTAAATGGGGGTTCTCCACCCCCGGAACACCTGCAAACCAGGCCAAGCCACTCTTTTTGGAGCTGATGGTGGTGCTTTTCAACATCTTCTCACTCCCCTAGTTCATGGACTTTAGACGTTTTGGGTTTGGACCATTTTAACAGAAAGCTCTTTTCTTGCCAGTGCACTCGATCGGAAGTGAGGCTTTTGGACCAAGTTGTTTGAATGCGTCTCTGTTTTGGGCCATGTTTAAAGGGGCCATGCACGAGCCGTGGCCAACACACCCCTTGACCATGCTTGCCCTTGGCACACAGCGTTTTCTCAAAATGGTGGACCCTGGTTGGTAAAGGGAAACCAAAAGGAAGCGACCCAGTTCGGGGTTCCCAAATTCTGAGAAACAACGTACATGGGTATGAAGTTGAGTTGAGAACCCTTTGGTGGACATCATTTCGGTGGGGGATTTATGTCCACCACTTTGCAGGGTGTTTTCTATTTAAAAAATGAAGCCACCAAGACAATTAATTCGGGAACCATGATACTTGAGGACAGCAAACGCCGGGATGGCTCATCGTAGATTGAGCAGGCAGAATGCCTTGCTGTGGAATGGTGACTTATATATGGGTGTGTGTGTGTGTGTGTGTTTTGTGGAGGCCACCCCTTTTTGGTGGGTTTAAAATTTAAACTGAAGCCAAAAGGAACACAACCACGTCCATTTTCGGGGTCCAGACACAGACTCAGAGACATACAGTACATACCTACATATATAAATAAATATATATATATATATATATGTATTTACGAATCCATGGCTATTTGGCCTTGTTTTGGCGCTGGTTCAGACCATGTACTAGGGCTGTTTGTATCCAGGCAAGTTCGTGCTTTCGGCCGGTGATTTGTGGCGCACCGACGCCTGTGGGGCGTCTTATCCTTCTCTGGGTGTGTTCTTGGCTCAAGTCGCTAAGTTCTAGGCCCCTAAGGGCGCGTCATGCCCTTCCCGTTTTACGCGGGGTACGATCTATTCCATGGAAAAGCAGAGCATCGCAGAAAACCAGAGCATCGCAGATGCGAAGGCGGGGGGAAGGAGGGAGGGGCTGCTGGGTTTTGGCTGAACAGTGAAAAATGAAGGAACTGCGACTGCTGTTGTCTGTGCGCAAAAGAAGCCAAGAAACCACTTGCTGTCCAAGAAGCGGGATGATTTGGTGGGTGTGCTTGACTTCTTACTGGGCAGCACTTTGAATCGTTCCTTTCAAAAGGAGTCATCTGATTATGTGAACCATTTGCGGTGCGTCCTCAAGAAAAGGAATCCGGAAAAAGTGAGCGGGTACGACACTTGATCTTGCCGGCGAATCGACCCGGAATGTCCTTTAGGTTTCGCTTGCTTGGTCCATTCTTAATCTCAGTTGTTCAGTGGCTCCCTTTTTCCCGTTGTTTTTTGGTGGCTGCCCCACTAAAATGGTCTTCCCAAAAAAGGGTTCCCTTTTTTTTCCAGGGTCACTGAACAACTGAGTTCTTAGTGGCTCCGAAAGGTGATTCTTTTTTCTGGGTCCCATCCGGGCAAGTGAGTGATTGTTTAGGTTGAGCAATGGTTGGGGTGGACAAGAGGTTTCCAACAAATTTCCAAGATGCCACATGACTGTCCTTTGGTGCGCTTGCAAACCTTCCCAGTAGAATCCTGCCAGTCCCCGGTTTGAGGCTATCAAGCTTTGAAAGGAAACAACGATGACTAGATATTTCTCCGGTTGCCTGCTCAGATAAGCGTAATGTTGACCCCACATAAACAAAATATCGTCCGGTTTTCACTTACAAAAGTGATCCGGATTCAACCACTAAAAGGAGGGCACCCCCGATCAAAATCAGGCAGGGGTATTAATCAGAGATCAACATCAATACTTGGATGTTCGGCCAAGTTAGTAACTGGTTAGCCACTTGGGGTATAACTCCCAAATAACAAGGTTAACCCCACTAAGGAGAACCTGTAAATGGGTTACAACCTAGGTTACCAGCAACCTACTAACTTGAAGAATCGAGCACCCAAGTAGCAACTCACAAGTTGAGCGATGACTTAGCAGATTGTGCGGAAGCCCAAAGGCACTAGTACCGCAAATCGACTGGACAAGACCGTATGCACATGCGATGCATCATGCTACGCTAATGTTCTTGAATGATACCTTTTTTATGTGATTGTTTTGTCCCTGCATCTTTGCTTTCACGTAAGCAAACATGCCCATGACTTTCTTAGCCGTTTCCAGCGCCCAGCACGCCTTCTGATTGCCACTAGTGGGGTTAGTTATGAGAAGAACCGTGGTACTGTTGACTGACACCACATCCAACATGTCAATCGTTTCGGATACCCTTCCTCCCACCTGGCACCCGTGGGATGGTACCTGGAAGATCAGTTTGCTCTTCCCCAGAGGCTCCCGATTGATTTAGGGCCTTCAAACAACCTGGTTTTGAGACCGGGTCCCAACCACCAATTCCTGGGGTGTCTAATGGAGGGGTCGGGTCTTCCATTGAAAGCCTCAGGAGCCTCTGGGTAGAGGGACCCCCTGTGAGACGCTTTGTTAGTGGGAGGTCATGTAGAGAAACAGGTACCACACTTTCACACGCTAAGAGCCTTGTCGTGGTAGCCGAAAATTAAAAAGTAAACCCCTTGAAACTTAACAGGGAACCCAAATGGGTGTGGCTCAAAATTAAACCAACAGGGGACCGCAGATTTTGGTCCATGTTTCCACTTGCCAGGGTTCCATTTTGGGTACCTATTTGTGACCCACAGCCAAATGGGGGAGTTTCCAAAACGGACATTGCCCCCTACAAATGGTTTTTCAAGTTCCACGTCAACCTGCTGTATTCGAGGAATAGCTGAACATGTCCTCGACGTAGGGGCCCAACAACCCAACCAGTGCAAACTTTCCGACCCATCGGACCCTGCCCTTCCATTTGCCACAAATAATATTATCTGGTTTAAAGGGATTTGTTTTACTGGTGGGGAAAAGCAAAGAGTATTCTTTCCAAGGGGCGAACAAGGCAACTGGAGGTTTCTACGCTCCGAAGTGGCCCATGACTTGTGACTTACGGCCAGACAAAATGGGGACCCCGGATTAGTTGTCCCCTGATTGATGAATAGGGGGATGTCCCCTTTTTAGCGGGGATTCATCGCTTTTGGAGCGGACCCCCTTTGAATGAATCCGGTTTACTACAATAGGGGTGTGTGTTTTTTAGGGGTCACCCAAAAAAGGGCTGATTTCCTTTTGGTTTCACTTTAATGTTGACCCAGGATTAATAAACCCGTCCCCTTAATTTCGGGGGGTGTTCCCTCCAAAAGTGAGTCAAAACCCCACTAAAAGGGGACACCAACCCCGATCAAAATCAACCAGGGGTTCTACTTAGATCCGAGGTGAACATTACAACCAACCAACAACTGGTACCCTCCAAACGAAACAAACGCGGCGGTGCCAGCGGTGAGGTGAAAGCTGCCTATGGCGCGTGTGAGGATGTGCCGCTGGGTTTGAGCGTCAGCTTTTCGCTGGAAAAACCTGTCGCGCAACTGAAGTTGAGGCTCGGTATCCTTAGCTTTTTTTTCTTCTTGGGAAACCGAAGTCGGAGAAAAAATCCCATCCCCATTTGGACAAGTTGGAATTTTTCAGCATGTGGTTGGCGCGTACCCGTGAAAGACCGTGGTGCCTTGGGAAACCTCTACATATTTGGTGCCTTTGGCACTCAATTTCATGGTTGGCTTTTGGCATTTCACCATTGAAGGTTGCACTAGCAACAAATGTGTTTGCCTTTTTCCTGGAACTAAACACTTCCACAGACTAACGCTCCCAGAAGGCCTTTGTAAATAGAACCAAGTCTTCCAAAGTGGTCCTGGGAGCTTCCATGTCAGTCTGGGGGCGGGTAGGGTCCATTTGGTATGATTTGAAGATGTGCTTTGCCCTTCTAGGTCCCCCAGTAGTGCCCTTTTACCCTTTTTGGGGGGAGGGTTCCCCTACTAAAATAAACTGCAGAAGAAAATCGGGTACCCTAACCTCCAAACTCTCAAATCTGGAGGACCTCGCCTTTTTGACCATTGGCATTCTGCTCTTCCGGTAGTCGCCCCGGGCCACCCGTGGAGTCTCCAAGAGTTGCTTTCCTTCCCCGAACCCTCGCCCGGTTTCCTCCGAAAACGACAACTTCTGTTGGGCAAAGGCGAGGGAACAGGGGGGAGGGCTGCATTTGAATCCTGTGCTTTGCCTTTAATGGCTGATGGGCGTGCGAAGATGGGGGATTGGACCTTATATGGGATCTACCAACCACTTGCTCAGCTTGATTGTTTGGTTCAACCATACATTTAATTGGTTCAACTAGAAAATTATGAGCATGACGAAACCTTCCAACAACTCTCTAGCAGGAGGTCTTCCTTTTGGGGACTCCCTTTGGGAAGACTGGTGTGTTGGCGGTGGTTTGTTTTGTGGCGAGTCCTAGGACCAGTTTTACGATGGTATTGTTTCCATACCAGCTTCACTGTTCTTGGCATGTGATGGTATTGCTTCCTCACCAGCTTCACTGTTCTTGGCATGTGATGGTATTGCTTCCTCACCAGCTTCACTGTTCTTGGCATGTGATTGATTTGCAGTCTTGGCTTTGGCGTTTGAAGAGGGCTGCAAAACGCACGGCTGTTAAGCTAGCAAGGATTGGCAGATATCAACCTTGCCCAGGGTTGCGAGAGGAAGGGTATGTTTCCCACTTTTGTGATACCAATTTTGTGGCAGTGGGAACTTCCCACTACCCCTGAGCTAATCCCAGACTCCAGTGGTGCCCTGTGCTCCGGTTAGATACTCCTCCCATCTCCTCCCTTGAAGGCAGCTACAACAAATGGCTGTGGCTCAAGAAGCTGGTGCCAAAATGGAACCCTGAGGCCCTGGTAAGAGGAAACATGGACCAAAACCTGCGTAACCCCTCCTGTTTAATTTTGAGCCACTGCCAAATCAGAGTCCCCTTTTCCCCCATGGCGACGTTTGGGTAATTGGGAGGTTTCAACGGCCAAGAAGCCCCGACCCGAAAAACCCGATGTGCCGGGCATAAAACCACCAGGCGGGAGCCGTTCACAACTCCTTTTTGGCCCTTGTACGCCTTGCTACATGGATTGCTGGGAGCCATAGTAAGTTCCACAAAAACCTCTATGGCCATTTTGAGAGTCAGTGAGTAAAGCGGGTGCCGTTCAGAGGTTGTTTCGTGATTTGCAATTCAAGCGTGTTTCCGCAGGTAGTTGGGCCTATCCTCAGCAGATTATTCTGCTTGCTCCCTTAAAAACGGTGGGTTGCTTTAGGTAATGACTCTCCAGACACATTGCGTTTTTGTTGGGTTGGATCGGTTGGCTTGGGCCAGGTATCACCACTTAGGATATTATTAGACCAATATTAAATTCTAGAATTGACATAGAAATCAGTAAGGCCAGAGTTCAAGCGGAATTCACAATCACCAGAAATAGCTCCCCTTTTTGATGTTTTGCTTTTTTGGGGTTCCCTTTGTTTTGCACTACCAAACTAAAATATATATTTTTGCTGGGGTCCCTTTTTTCCAGCCAAGTATTGAACGCACGGCCTTTGCCTGAGGCCGGTGATGGAGGAATGGAGTCAACCAGATGTGCTGCTGCTCGAGTGTCGAATTTCGGGGAGATGTGATTTGCCGAGGGACAAGATGCTAGCTTCGGACTATTCCTGGGGTCATTATTTTGACGGTTTCTGGCGGTTGTCACAGTCAGAAAATGGGGTTGTTTCCCTTTAACCCACCACTTAGGGGGTGACTTTGATCATGAGGCCAGTATTCCGGAGGATCCTACTAGTCCCCCCCTGAAATGGTTCATTCACTTACTAAAAGGGGAACCAGCCCTGATTAGTTTGGTCCTTTGGAAAAATCTTAAGTTGACATTACTGGTTGGGGTTGGCAGTCGGGTTTTGGTGTCTGTGGGTTTCGAGTAGAACTGGCTTCGGGTCAACTCCCCAGCAATCCAAACCACAAGACAAAGCTACCATAGAATGTCGACCGAAGAGAAATCAACCTGGGTGGTTGGATATATTTCCCTTAAACTGGGGGTTGGCTCAAACAACTGATCACCCAAGCCAGGGGAGTACACTCGAGGGGTTCATGGAGCTCAGGAATTTCCTCATTGGCCAACTGGCCCTGTGGATCGAAATCCATTTCGCCCCACCGTTCAGAAACCCAGGAATGATGCGAATGATTACCCTGTAAATACCAACACTGGTTTCCATGCCTTCTTAGGTGGTGCGAAATGGATTTCGTCCATCCACAGTAGGTCACCTTCCGCCATTGCCCTTTTGGTTTATATATCAGGTGGTTTTTTGAGGCTGGCAAGCCCTTGGTAACCCACTTACATAAATAAATGGATCCGCTGGGTGATGTTTCTTTTGGGTTGTACCATCGACTTTTTTGGACACGTGCAATCGATGGGCGACGTGCTCTCTTTTTTGCATTTTTCACGGGGCATATGAAGAACCCTTTTAGGTGGGTGCAAAATGAAGGAATGGGCCGGAGGGACTTTGAGACACCCATACTCCGAACCTCCAGCATGTTTCCCTTGTTTCAGCTTCTATTTTTGTTTGGGGGAGGCTTTATCTCACTCAACGAGCTCTTCGACTTTAGTGACTGTTTGGTTTGGACCATTCTGGTGGCAAACACAATGATTGGTTACTTCTTTTATGGCCCATCAACTCAGGAGAGTTTAGGCAACCAACAAAAACGGGCGCCGATGATCTTGTTTTTGTTTGGGAGAAACCGGGAAGCACGCGGTCCCAGAGGCGCTCCTGGACACTTGCGGGACTCTTTTTTTTTCTCCCTTTTTGGAGATCCACCCGGAATTCCACGCATCCAGGACGTGGAAACCGGGATTTCCCGTCAGCCACAAATTCGGACGAGCCGAAGAGGGTACTCTGATTGGGCACTTTCATGGCTTGGGATCCGAAAGAGCTCCAGTGCTTCTTGTTCCTGGTTTTTTGCAAGGGTGTTTCCGTCGTTCCCCTTCTTGGCTTTTCCATTCACCTGAGGGTCCTGATGGAATTTGGGGCCTCAACATACGTCCTTTTGACAACTCGGGGTGTGGTACAGGCACCCCTGGGTTCTGCATACAACGCTCCGGGACCATTCTTACTTCTTGAGTTTCGGACTTTTTTTTTGGGGGGGTAGATCATTTGAGTGGCCAGGCCACTCAAGAAGCGCCAAGAGGTGATGACGTTTTACTTCCGGGCCCCTACTTGGGTGCTCGCTTCGCCAAGTTCGTAAGTGGTTAGTGACATGATGGCCCACTTGCAACCGGCCCAAGTGACTAGGCAAGTTATAGCTGGTGGCGATCCCCACTTCCGAACATAAATCGAACGTCCAAGTCTCGGGTTGCTTGGTTTCCCTTCAGGTTGCTCCCGGTTTTTGCTGGCTGAGGGGTGTTCCTTCAGGTACCACTTTGGTCTGGGAACTGAGAAGGGGCTGAGCGTCGCCTTGGTCTCCTCTGTTGCCCAGCGGTGCCTTTGTTTTTTCCTTTTTTTTTGGCTAAGGGCTCTCCTTTAAACTCAACCAACCAACACTTCCCCAGAATGAGTTCCCCTTTTTACTTTTTTGCTTTTTTGGGGTTCCCTTTGTTTTCCACTAACCAGGCAAAACAAGTTGTTTTTTGCTGGGGTCCCAATTCCAGCCAAGAAAAGAGGGTGCCCTTGTTTTCATCTGAGTCTCCTGTTGCTTCCTTTTGACTTCGACCTGGCCGGCCGTCAAGAATTCAAGGTGTTTGTCCAGATGTGGGAGGCTTCTGTCCTTTTCTTTTTGCGCTTTCCTTACTGGAAGACCCGACCCCATTAGACACCCCCGAGGTGGAGGTGGTTTTTCTTTTTGCGCTTTCCTCACTGGAAGACCCGACCCGAAGCATTAGACACACCCCCGTAGGGGCCCTCCGAGATGGCAATCCCGGTCTTCCTTTTGGCCCTCCCGGAGGCTCCAATTCGATTCCTGGGCCTTCAAACTGGACCTGGTCTTGAGGATTCCCGGGATCCCAACCACCAATTCCTGGGGTGTCTAGTGCTTCGGGGTCGGGTCTTCCATTGAAAGCCGAAGCCGATCGGAGCCTCTGGGCTCACAAGAGACACACCCAAATGGTGGATCCCCGTGATTTTTGTTTGTATTTCAAGGGAACCATACGGAAACCGGGCGTGCCGCTTTTGGGGTAAACGTTTTAAGAAACTCCAATGTACATGCCTGAAGTTGATGGATGAATTTGTTTACCCACTCCTTTGGTTGCAAGTGAGAGGATGGAGTTGCGCTAAGTTTAAACTTGCACTTTCAGGTCCCTTTGGGACATATGGGTATGTGTCATAGAAAAATCCCCCAAACTGGAGGTTGCCCTTTCGTTTCCCTTCAAACACCAGCCCGAACCGCCTGAACAGGGTAACTTGAAACAACAGAGACCCATGTGTTGTGTATGTCGGCGGATCCAGTTGGTTTTACATTATTTTTCTTTTTTTTTGGAGGGGACGTTTCGCATGGGGCATTGTGCTACCTCCTACTCAAAATACCCTAACTCTTTCGGGGATACGATGTCAACCCCTGACAAAAACAAGACACACGTTTCCCCCTGAACACCTTGATGGAGGGAAATTGACCGATGAGGTTTCTCAAGGGAAGCCACAAGGAATTTCCCACCATCTTCTCTTTTGAGAGCGGCCGTGGTGGGGATGGGATATTTGTCGTTTGTTTCGTTGTTTCTGGGTTTGTGTCTTTCTGCAATAGCTAAACACTTGGGGGTGGCGAGAAAGAGTGCCTGGAGTCTCTATGACCCTTAAACAATGAGGACATGACCCACAATCATGGGGTCATGGACCCATTTTTACAGGTCAAAAGGAGACTCCAGGTAGTTTGGTGCAGTCAGGCAGAACTCCAGGGATACGATTACGGACCGAGTCCGGAGTCGAGTGAGGCTGATGAACATTTGGAGCGCTCTGGGGCAGATCTTGGTGCCCATGGGCCTGGTGGTGGTCTACAACAACCCCGGAGTGCGCCTCGGGCCGACCGCGTCGGCGTCGGCTTGGCGACGAGTCGGGCTTCGCCCCCCTGCCGTCCCGTCCTGTTTTTGTGGGGTCGGGTCCTCTGTGGCTGGGTTCGTTTTCCTTTTTGGGTTGTTGAAACGGAGAATGGGAAAGTTTCCATTTCGGAGGTTCCCTATTTTGAAGCACACCCATATTAGGGTGTCGCTCAAACTCTAACCAGGGGAAGGTTTTTAAACCACCAGGAAGGGGTCCCTATGCGGCCCGGATGCCGATGTGACCAAAAAGGCCAGAGCTCAGTTAACTCGTGGACCCTTGCCTCTTCTGTCTCCGACTTGCAGAGTTCCTGGACTTGAGTCACTGCTTGGGAAGACAATTTTAGTGGTTAGAGAGTGCTTGGTAGCTTGTTTGGCCAGTCCACTGGATCGGAAGACAATTTGTCCAAACTTTCAGTTGCCAGGTTTTTTGTTCAGGGTGTCTTCCATTTCTCTTTTTGGAACCTTCAACAGAGGCAGTTTCAATGGAAACCACCAGACAACTGATCAGCTTTTGGTTCGGGGACACGCGGTGACCCCTATTCTTCCGCATAGTCTGCTACCAGGTCCCCCAGTAGTGCCCTTTTACCCTTTTTTGGGGGAGGTTCACTACAGAAAAAAGGGTACCCTTTTTCTAACCTCTCTACTGGAGGACACAGGCTAAGTTTAAACTGTGTCAAATCAGACGGAAGTATGGAGCCCATGGGAAGCCCTCCGACATGCTAACCCTTAGTTGGTGGTTTCGGGCTTCGAACCCCAGTTGATTTTGAAAACGGGTTTCTGGCGCCCCCTAACGTCCAAACCACCAAACTAACTACATCACCAACAAAAGGCAAGCTGATGACTTGAGGAAACGAGGGGGGGACTTGCATGACCTGCCCCGTTCCCCTTGATCTACAAAAGCCGCCATGGAAATCTTAAGGTTGGGAGACTGAAGAGGCGAGGGGATCTAGACAGTTAGCTCGACAGGTTTTGGCTTGCAACCACTTTACCCATGATGATTTTCTAGCGGTTGCGATTGTTGTCAGTTGCGATCGGCGAATTCTGAGATGATGTACCCAGATGGAGGATCCTGAATGTTGTAGGATCCAACCCTCCACCGACTCACCTTGTTTATTCCAAATAAGACACAACTCAGGCCTTATTGGGGCAAGGTTCACCCGCCCGCATCCTTCGAGGGTTTCTGAACGGTGGTGCCGAATTTCGTCCATCCATAGTACCCTGGTCAGCACCCATTTCTTCCTCTTTCGTCGCCCGAGGTTCCATGCCTCTTCCAGCCAAGACGCCGAGCAGACCAGACGCTTCTTCATGCAGTGCCAAAACCAAGGCGCGCAACGTGTGGTTCTGTGGGTCGGACCTGGCCTCCCAAGAAAAACCCAGTGGAAGTACTGCATGGAAGTACGCAAAAAACATCAATGTATGTATATTTGTCGATATTCCACAATGAAATCCATGATCACAGGTTGTTGAATGGTTTGGATGTTTCCGCAATTGGGGGTCACAACAGCATTGGGGCCACGGAAAAAAAGGGGGGTTCGGTAATCCCTTCTTCCTGTCAATAACCCTTCCCCGAATAATACAACCCCCTCAGCCGACCCCAAAAATTGCCAATACTTTTTGTAGATAACGCAATACTCAACCAATACTAGCCTCTCCCGAACCCAGATCCACTCAGCGAAACTCTGCAGATGTGCTTATTCGGGGTCAGCCTGGTCTTACTCAAAAGTTGTGTTTTGAGCTCGTTTTTACTCAATCCGTTGGTTGCCTTGCATGACAAGGGTTTTATTATTAGGGTCTCCATTGGTTTCTCTTCAGAAAGTCTCTTTTTGAAATTCCTTTTTTGGGGAAGGGTTCCCCTTTAAACTCAACGAACAAGAAAAAGGCCCATGGGCCACTGGGCATCTGAGTTAGGGTTGACTACATTTGAAACATAATCTGAACATATGGGTCTGTCTTCTTTTGAGGGTGCCCCTTTTGGTAGGGCTTAAAGGGACACCAAAAGGAAAGCCATCATTTTTTTGGCCCGCCAAAAAATGACACACCCATATCACTTTCTGTCTACCCCAGATGTGATCCAAGTTCCCGTTCTTGTGTCTGCTCCTGTTTTCCTTTGGCTCGAATGGAACAGCGGAAGAACTTCGCCTCGCACCGTTCACCTCGTTTTTGCGTTCTGTGGTTTGCGTTTGTGTTCCACATGAGCATTCTTCGGTACCCTCCCACCGACTAACATGAAACTGCACAGATTTCTGTGGAAAGACCACTTTCCGTTTGGTAAGAGGGGCTTTGTGCACTTCCGTGTTAGGTGCTGGGAGGGTATATTGTTTTACAAGGGCTTTCCCAAGACCCTTTATTAAACTGGCTTGGTGGAAAAACCGACTGCTTCTTACGGGTCGGTTTGTCGGGCTGTCCTTTTGTAGGGTGAACTCGGGGTTTCCCACGTGGAGTTCCTTTTTTTCTGGTTTTTCCGTTTCCTTTTGGGTTTTGGAAGGACAAGGAGCATTGGCGTCGGTTCGTTCATGGTCTCTCCGATGTCCCTTTCATCCTTTGAATCCATGTCTGGAGACCACAAGGCGCACTGCTTGGACCACCCGACGTGCTGAAAATCACTTTAGCACATGTGCCCTAAGTGGCGTTTCCTATGGATGGACAAAATATTGCACCCCATTTAACCATGGGAAACCATGGATTGTTGGTATGAATCATTTTACCAGCGCCTCTTGGGTGGCGCATAATTTCGTCCATCCGCAGTATGTAGAGTACATCCCAATCATAAGGGGCCTTGTTTCGCCAGGATTAAGCACTTCCCAAGTGGGCGGTCACCCAAGAAAGCGACACAGCAAGAACAGTGAAGAAAGAACAAGCCTGGCCTCCCCCATCCGCCCTTGAAAATACGCTTGCTTAACTGGTTGCTGACTACCCCAAAATGTTCAGGCTTTCCAAAAAGACCCCAAACGTTTGTGTGTGTGCACAACAGGGTCCAACCAATCAGACTTTGGCTGTGGGGTACGTTGAGACAAAATTTAGCCGTGATGATTGGAGGTAGCTACGAGGATTTGTAAGCCCCCTCACATACACTCTTTAAGCGGCTAAATAGCCCATGTGTTGTGGTCAAATGCCCTTCAAACGGAAGTCCAATCCAGGAATCCTCTCCAGGATTCCCTTTGTTCTTTGGTTGTCCTTAGTGGTTTCCCCATCGTCCGGGTGCTGAATAACCCACGTCCTTTGAAATGTTTGTCCAGAAAGAAGCCAAAAGGTCATATGATGCATATTTCCAGGCCCCCTATATTTCAAACAAGAGAAGCCAACAAGGGACATGAGTTCATTTTTTTCCAGGCCCTTCCCATATTTGTTTATTTGTCCAAAAAAAAGCCCAAAGGCTGACATGCATTTTCATATGTCCAGGAACCCCCCCCCCCATATTTGTTTATTTGTCCAAAAGGAAGCCAAAAATGGGGGACATTAATTCTCACATGTTCAGGAATCCCCCAAGAATGGGGTACATGAATTTTCATATGCCCGGGAAAACCCCTCCCTTTGAACGCGCTCAACGGGTGGAGTGACCCGTTTTGCGGCCAGGCCATTCCTGGCAAGTGGAATGGGCCTGTGTGTGGACGACGCCAGCGGTACGCCTCTTCCCGGTGCTGGGGGTGTCATTGCGCCCTGGCGAACCCATGAACTACCTTTTATAGACTATTAATATATATATATATATATACTATATATATATATATGTGTGTTTTCCCAAATGCACCCTGCATGGATTGCCAGGGAATTGAATCCATCCCTTCTCCATGGTTGTTGTTGGGAAACATTTTACCTTTGTGCTTATTGCGGTTTAGTGGTGGAAATCCAACCACTTGGGGGCAACTCTGAGCAAAACCGTGGCCTGGGCACTGGTCAAATTGGGTGTAGCTCAAAATCAAAAGAGCTACTGTGGATGGACGAAATCCATTTCGCACCACTTTGAAACCAAGGTTGAAGCCAGAACGTTTGTTGGCATTTACAGGGGAATCATCATTCCAGGGTTTCTTAGGTGGTGCAGGATTTCGTCCATCCAGAGTACCACGCAACATGCCAGGGCATTCAGCTGAACTAGGTTTTTCGGCTAGGTGCCCTTCTCTACCAACTTTTTTGGTTGGGAGGGTTCGGCTACTAAAATGGACTACAGAAAAAAGGGGTACCCTATTCTAACCTGTCTACTGGAGGACCTAGTGAAGCATTGCCTTTACTGCACGGTGACCGTCCATATCCAGCCAGCCATATCCAATGTGGGTGTGTTTTTTAGGAATCGCCCCCCCCCCCCCCCCAAATGGTCGGTGTTCCTTTTGGGTTCCCTTTGAAACCCACAAACACGGCATACCAACTCGGAAATAACAACCTCACAGGCTTTGACATCCTTCAGTGGTTCTGCCTGATTTCGTGCTGTGGATGGACAAAATCGTGCACCACCTAAGAACCCATGGTTCATTTCATGCTGCGGTGCCGAATTTGGCAACCATCTCGAAACCATTGTTGCAGAAGCCTGCAAAAAACCTCTAGAAAACCATGTTAGTTTCAAAAATCAATGGGTTTTGGGCGCTTCTCCAATAGCCAAACATTTTACGGATCCGCCTAAGTGTGGTGTACATGAATCCCCACCAACATGATGTTCACCCAAGAGTGCCGAATTAAATCTCAGATCCCAAATCAGGTTGGGCCCTTTTTTTGGGCTGGTTTAGAGGATCATGTTAGGGATGTCACTGTAGTAGGCGCGCTTAAATGTCCACTGCGGATTGCAACGGGAGGCCCCTATTAATCAGAGGAATCCCACACTGAGTTGACTCCGAGCAAAAACCGCATGCTTCCTCCTGAATAATCTTTAGCTGACTGCGTTTTCAGGCAGACGCCTGCGATAAACTGGCATGTGAACATGCCCCTTGTTGGGTGCAACGTGTTTTGCTGGTCAGGGTTGGCACAGCATAGCTCACATACCAGGGACTCGAACTGCTCCCTTTTTTGTTGGCGAAGTATTGACTGCTCACGGGATACTGTAATTTTGACTATGCTTTAGACACCCAAAATGAGGGACCCAGATCAATACAAGACACACACTCACACCCACACATACATACAACACCCATACACAGCCCATATATGCCCATGACAATAAAACGTTCTCTGCAAATTGGTTTCTGAATCAGAAGGGTCTGAATACGCTTACAAAGTCAGATCATGTTGCTGACCGAAACAACCCAGATGTGCCTTTTGGAAAATGACTACATGTTCCCTACATGGGTGTGTCTTAAAATTGGGACCTCAAAAGTTGTGGTTTTCCTGTTGGCTTCCCTTTTAACGGACCCTTAAAAAAGACACACCTACATGTTCTCTAGATACTAGCAACACACAGGATATGCTCGACATCTCCAACCACCCCAAATGATCCCGGGAGGTTGCTCAGGTTCCAGGCTAGTGGATAGGCATTGCATATCAGTGGCACCGATTCAAGTACATGGTTCTGAGGGTTTTAGTATTACACCCTGGGAGTACACCCTTGGGAAATGACCCAGAATGCCTCAAAATAACACGGTCCGGAAATGTGCCTAAACGCAGTGGGTGTATTCCCAGGGTGTAGTACAAAAACCCTTAGCTCCTGCGAAAGACCTAGAAACCAAATGGGTGTCGTGGTGGGATGACCCGTTAATCGGTGGTGTTTTTTTTTGGATTTGACCCCCCCCCCAAACCAAATTTGCTGGGGAGAAAACCGGGGTGCTCAAGGAAACAAACCTTGGCGGCTCCCAGCCACCCGGTTCCTGAGGTTTTTAGATCCTTTTAGTGTCTAGTGGTAGTTTCCGTGTTTGACCCACTCAGAGTTCGTCAACCTCTCTGAGCGGCGGATCCGAAAATGGGCGGCCCAGAAAGAAGGACCTCGATCAGTTTGGGGTTCCCGAGGCAAAGCGGCCAAGGACCGCGAGCCCAACGTAAACCTTTGGTTCCATGTTACGGAGCCCC